GGTTTGATTGGATGATTTGTTTGGTTTTACTTTCATCCTTCTAAGAGGCCTGTGTCATATCTCAAAATCTGGAACATCTTAAGTGTTGAAGTACTGTGTAAGCAGACACTATACATTCTCAGAATGCTCAGAAATATAGCCACAGAGATACGAAATAAAATTATAAGGTATTAGCTCTATACCCATGCTTCACTATGAAACTATGTAATTGGGCTTAGTTTGGGGGGAGGAAAATAAGGGGGAAAAATGTGCCTCTGCCTACCAGTATCCATCAGTATTCATCTGGCTATCATCTTGTCATTTGTGAGAGAGTTGAAGGCTGGTTGGAAACTGAAGCAGTATTTTCTATGTGAGCAAGAAGGAGACAGCAAGGAGCCTGGGCGTGGCTTAGCTCAGCTGTTCTATACTAAAGCTGGTTGCTGCTGTGAAACTAAAACTGAAACTTCTCTCCTCTGCTTATGTTTTGCATTTGGAACAGATTTCTTTTCAGGTGGGGAGTGGGAGTAGAACTCCTTAGCATCAGAGCGTGTTAATAATAATATACAAAATACTAATGCTCTGATGGTCATTTTGAAAAATCCTTTCTTAGCAAACACCTAGAAGCCAAGAGGAACATAAGTGGCAAATTTCAAGTTTGTAGGCTTTACAGTTCTGGAGATTTTGTGATGATGCATGAGTGGTATTTCGCATAGATGGATGGATGGATGGATGGATAGATAGATAGATAGATAGATAGATAGATAGATAGATAGATAGATAGATAGATAGAAGATGTGAATCTAAAATATTGCCTAATGATGTCTCATTTATTCAGTCTTTGATTACTTTCTACATTTTGATCCCAACAAGGGATCAGGAAGAAATTATAGAACTGATGCATATGTAAGTGCATGCTACCTGATTATATTGCTACAGATAAATTATGATGAAGGGGTTTATTCAATCTTTTTGGATTCATACATACTATCTGACTCGTCAGAAAACAATATAATTTGAGGACTTTATGGAAGTTGTGTAAATAAATGTAACAAAACCAAAATATAGAATTTTTTTGATTTTCAATTGTACTAGACTTCAAAATAGAAACATTTAGTTATAGATGATAGTTTGTATTTTTATGGTATGCATGTTGTTCTGTTGTTTTTTTAAAACTTTATAAGCTGCCCAGAGTCATCTAAGATGTGTGGCAATCAAATCAAAATAAATAAATAAATCAAGTAAGCAAGCTTTATTTTGCTTTACAGAAATTTGGCTCATAGTTTTCCCAATAAATGTGCCTGATAGTAATTTGTAACTTAGCATATATCTGCTCACCTTTTATATATTTCTCTATTGCTATCATCAAGTTAGTGTTTGTTGTACAATCACTGGACAAATCTCTGCAGTTTTCTTGGCAAGTTGCAAGAAGTCATTCGCCATAAGCTACTTCTTAGGTCTAAGAGAAAGAACGGTTGCTTCAAGGTCACCCAAGTGACGGATAGGATTAGAACTCATGGTCTCCTAGTTTCTAGCCTGATGCATTACACCACCAAATGCCTCTCTTATCAATGTAGAAACATTTGTAAAAGTTTGTAAAGGGCTTCTATCAATACACTACCATAGACATATTCTTGAAATAAAAAAGACCTGGAAAATAGAAAGTCTTTAAATAAGAGGAATCATTACTTCAGGGAAAAACACAATGTTACAACCTAAAATAAAACTTTTGTAGCAAATCTCAAGAATAGAGGTAATAAAATCATGGTTTGGGAGTGCCTTCCAATCTGACATTCCATCTGACTTATCATTAAAGAGAGCATGAGAATTATACAAGATCATACCAGAACATCTACTTTCACTTAAAACTGAAATGGACATGGGTCTTATAGTAAAATGATTCCAGTAATCAAGTCTGCAGGTTAATGAAGAAAAACAAATATTGTTGAATTGAGAGTTTGCAAGAAGAAAGAGCCATAATTTCTATATAGTCATTTCCAAAGCATTCATGCTTTGAACCATCAATGTTGTTGGAGGAAATGTCCATCTGGATTCAGTTCCAAGTGGGAAGAAAGACACTGGAAACATGGAGACTGCTTGGAAGGATGGTTTAATGGTGGACAGGACCATATGATTTTGAGGTCCTGAGCAAAAAATGACCACATGGTTGAGAGAAGGAAAGAGATTTATACCCTCTGTTGGGCTTTGAACTTTCTTAATGTTCCTGTGGCAAAAGATTGTTGTCAGACTCCCATGGGGCCATGCAGGGTAACTTTGTAAGTTGTCTTGAGTCCCAGGTTTGGTTGAATCTTGTTGGGTGATGCAATCTTCCCAAGTGCCATGTGGTGAGATGGGTAGGGGACTAATCTTGTCCTGAGGGTGAAGATACTTTGTGTTGTTGATAAGATGGCCCAATCTTTCTGGGGCTATTAACGAAGCTGGGGAACTGCTTTCCAAGAGCATGTTTCTCCTTTTCTCATCCAGGGAGATATAATATTTTGCCTTTTTAATATTTCCTAGAATATTTTGTTCTTCAGGAGAGGGGTGGCTGCTAACTTTCTACAATGTCATTAGTTTATTCAAAATTTATATAGGAGTGGGACCCTTAGGAAGCTCTGATGTCTGTCAGTGCCCAAAATATGTGAGAATTTTAGAAAATCTGAAATGAAATACCCATTTCTAATGAAAATATATGCAGGGATGGGATGCAAATATTTTTACTATTTTGTGAGCATGGCTAGGTGGGCATGGTCCTGTGACTGGATGGGCATGGCTTCTTTTTTTTGTAGCATTCTTCCTGCACTCTTTTTTTTTTTTTGGCCTCCTGAGCCTCAGAGAAGTCTCCTGGAGGGGTCATTTCTGCTCCCAGGAAGTTTCTCTGAGGCCCAGAAAGGCAAAAAATGGAGCAAGGAGGTCCACTTAGCACCCCCCTCTCTGTTTTTGGCCTCAGGGAAGCCTTTTGGGAAGCCGTTTTTGCTCCCAGAAGGCTTCCCTGAGGCTCAGGAGGTCAAAATGGAGCACGGGGGTGGGTGGGTGGGTGGGTCTGTTTTTTTTGCCTCCTGGGCCTCAATGAAGCCTCCTGGGAGGCCTTTTTGCTCCCAGAAGGCTTTCCTGAGGTCCAGGAAGCCAAAAAGGAGCATGGAGGGGACCTCCTGGGCCTCAGAGAAGCCTCTTGGGTGAAGCAGTAAGACAGTGAGGGGGATCCTGGCACAGCTGATTGTCAGGAAGGAAAAAAAAGAAATACCGTAAGGAGTGACTGAGCAGGCAGGGAAGAATGCAGTCAGCAATGTGCGCGATGTCACACATGCATGATAAGGACTGACTGGGTGGGTAGGAAAGGTGAGGGGTGGACAGAACGGGGCGGGGCCAGCCAAGATCACAATTTGCGAGTTCTCCAAACAGAGCAGAATCATAGCCAGTTCTATAGAACCAATCTGAACCGGTAGAATACCATCCCCGAATATATGTTAGATAAATGATTAATATATTTCAAAAAAAAAAAAAAATAGCAGGGCAAAAATGCAAAGTATATATAAATGCATTTAAACATTGTTATGCTGCTCTCTTAAATAGTTATTTTAAACCAATATTTATTTTTATGTTTAAATGTGTCTGTAAACTGTTTAATGCCTTTCCTCTTTTAAATAAGGGCTATTGTAGCTTGTATCATTTTAACACGCTGTGCTGAATGCAATATAAAAGTAGCAAAAGGGGGAATGATCCATTTCAAAATCAAAGTGCAACTTCTTGTTGATATTTTTTCTCCATATGAGTACATTGGCTTTTTTTTAATTAAAAGAAATATATGCCCTGCCCTGCATATTCTAGATAGTAGCAAAATAGCATTTCAGCCAACTTTCTGCAATAAAGCAGGAGAAACAGCAAACAAAAATAGAACATCCAGGTTTGTTGTGTGAGGGTGAAGCAAAAACCACAACATGAGTAGAAGCTTCCACAGTGTTATTTCTGAACTTACACATATCTATTTCCCTTGTACTCCTTTGTCAATACAACTTCGTATCCACCAAACAGAGATGTCATTGGCTGGAATTAAAATACTGATCTCTCTCCATCACATGCATTAACAGATTTTAAAATGCAAACATACATGCAAAGAAAGAAGAGGGTGGGGAGAGAGAACGAGAGAGAGATGCATGCAGGTTTGGCACTGGGACAAAGAATTGCTTCTAAGGGATTACATTGGAGACCTGCAGTTTTTTTTAAGAGGGAGACCAGCCAGCTGGGTTTGCTGAAATATTTTTAAATGCGTTCATGCAGGCTCCGATCATCAGGCCACGCTTGACCTATTTTTGGCTCAGACCAGCCATTGTTCTATTTCTGTTGCCTGAGGGCCCTGCTGTTGTTGATCTGTATGCAAATGAGCACTCACTAGCTCCAGCCACTTTTGCCAAGCCGACGAAGAGAGGCAGGCAGAAAGGCAAAGACAGGACAGGAGGAGGAAGAGGAAGCATTGGACTCAGGGATAATGACATGTGCTAGGGTTGAGAGTAATTGAAACTGAAATCCATAGGGAATACAATCCTTAGAAAATGCCTGCTAGTCTTTGAATTTCAGTGGCTTTTTTTTCTCTCCTTCGATTCCCAAGAATAAATTGGAAGAAAATTTATCTTCCACCTGCTCTTTGAATGCAGAACACAACTAAGGTACATAATATATTTTTCTCATTTGCATATACAAATACTTACATGCACACATATACATACACAAATGCATGCACATAGAGAAAGAGTTTATTCTTCTGTAACGAAGTAAATTGTATTAGAACTGGATTTCATCATAATTGGAACTGCATTGATAATTTACAAATCTGCCTGTATACAAGTAGTTCATATATATTCATTTTAGCAAGTTGTACTATGAATATTGTTAAATCCCCCAGAAAGGCTTGTTTCCAATATCCCTGAACAATTGGTGATGAATCTTTCATGTAGCTGCACTGCAGACTGATTGGAATATGCTGCAGACAATTTATGAGAGTGAATTGTTTTTCCTCAGATGGAGTTTCAAGACGTGATCAGCTCTTGGTTCAGCAAAGAATGCACAGCATGATCAACTCAGGTAGGAAATTCAGAGTAATTTATCTATAAAATATAGATATGAAATGTTAGTAACTGGTTCCTGCGACATGGATTTGTCATCTCTTATGTTCAGCTTCTTGTTAGTTCTATTCTTTCTAATATTTTGTTCTAATATTTGGTGGGTTGAAATGTCATATCATTTTGGGAATAATTCCTGGGAGTGGTATTGGGGGTGGTATTGCTACTACTACTACTACTACTACTACTACTACTATTAGTATTAGTATTTTGGGAAACCATTACAGATTATAGTAGTAAACTACTTGGCAGCTTGCCTATTTGGAAGGAAGCCTTCCAGCCTGAGCTGCTCCAAACACACACATATCCAAATCAATGAGTTCTTAAGGTAGCAGTTTTTAGCTGCAAATTTAAAATTTTGTTTTGCTGAAGAGGGTTATGTCCTTGTTGCAACTAGAAAGTCTGGTAAAATCTTAGGGTTGATTTTACCAACGGACAGCAATACCAACTCAGAAGGTACCAGTTACTGATGTCCTGGATACATGTTCCCACTGTTATGTTGTTGCTGAAAAATTCATATGATTTCTGCTAAAATGTTTTTTTTTTTAAATTCTATGGTGATGCCTTAGAAGATTATTCTTAAGTTCCTTGGTTTGTACTACATTTGAGTTCATTTGTAGTACTTGAAACATCCTTGGGGAATTGAATGTGAAAATTAGATGGCAATGAATCATTACAAATGTTCAAAGAACAGGTGTTTTAAAAATGCAGTTACCAAAGGGTTGAAGCTCCCCCCCCCCGCCCTGCCAACTTTTATGACTTCTTCCATTTATATTCTGCTTAGATATTTTGTAAAAATCATCAAGGTGATGTGATCTTGGAGGAATTATTTTATAAGTTTGTCAGTCATTTAAAATACAGATATGCTTTTAAGTACATCAAGTATTGTGGAGCTTGTGGGTATTTCCAAAACTATAATGAAATTTAAATTCTCTCTACCTTCTTCATTTGAAATTTTTGCTCATACCTGCAAGTAATTTATAAAGATATTTGAGATTAAAAAAAAAATTGACAGCTTTCTCACTATGATATTTAGATTTCCAGTATACCTATTGACCTCCACAAGATTTAAAATGTATGACGTTTGGTATTCTATTACTTTTACTGGTTTATATGGTAAAACATATGGAATTATACCTTTATAGAACTACCAAGGTATATTAAATGTACATCTGAATTTTTACTCTTCAAAATTCTTGAAGAAATTACAAATAATAATTAACTGTAAAAATAACAATATATAAAAGTAAAGATTTCCCTGACCTACTCTAGGGCAAAGTGCTCATCTCTTTTTCTAGGCCGAGGGAGCTAGCGTTGTGTGAAGAAATTTTCTGTGGTCATGTGGCTTTCTTTATTTTGACTTTATGGATAATCTCATATTCTGTTAATCTATTATGTATAGCCATATACTAAAGGAGTGGGTGAACTCAGTGGATCAAAGTTCTGATTAGAAGGCGCAAGCTTATACTATATTTTGTGTACAGATGTACAGAAGTAAGATTTTTGACAGGTGTGATTTTCTTCAACTCAAAAGATATGACCAGCAGTATCTGATAATATTCCATTTTAACAGTTAAAGATAAAACAGCCTTAATAGTTAAAGTATCAACAGATATAATCTATACAGAGGTATATCACTATGGAGATCCTTGATCATCAAGATCATGGTTGTTCAAAAGGTCCTTTTTCCAAAGGACAACTTAAATTCTGAGGAAGCTTCCTGGATGAGAGGTAAAACATTTTCAAAGGAAAAAAAAATAAAGAAAAAGTGCCTTTTTGAAAAAGCATTTTTGGGACATTACAGCTCTAATAAATTTAAAACTTCAGGCTGCCATTTATATGTCTTAATAATCAATTCATTTTCCTTTTCAAAAACATTTGTAAGGATTAATCAATTATGAAATCTCTAACAGCAACTTAAATAAAATATTTTAAAGGATTTATTACACAGAAAAATGATGCTTTGTACGAAAGCATGCCCATATATCTAAGAAATTTGTGATGCAAGCTCAATACAGAACATTTCAGGGTTAAAAAATAATGAGAAAGCATCTGTATTACTCTCTTTCTATGTCAGTTTCATTTAAACGTATTTTACCCTATCACAATCAACCTTATTTAATAACCTTTGCTACTGAGTTCAGTATGCCTTGCTAATCTATAAAATCGTATGCTCAAGTCATTTGGGGGAAGATTATAGTTAAAGGAATGAAGTTAAAGTTTTCAGGTAAAATTAGAAAAGATATATATTTAAAATCTTGGATAATAGCTGCTAACTAGTGTTAACTAATCTTTCCAGTTTAGTGCTTTCACATATGTTGGAGTTACAATTCACAGAATGGTATAATAGTGTAGCAAAAATAATTAGGTTAGTAACTACTAGTATAGACATTACTAAGCTATATACTGTATATTGATTAATCTAAATCAAGGGTTGGAAACCTATAGCTTTTAAATCCTTGCTAAACTTAGAAGATACAAGCAACAGGACCATTGGTCAAGGATGCTAGGCATTTACTGTATTTTTAACATGATAAGATGCACCAGATCATAAGACACAAATTAACTTTAGAAGAGGAAAACAAGGGGAAAAAAATTCTGCCTTTACCTCCCAGCATCCATCCGGTTATTCATCGGATTAGTGTCCTTGCAGCAAGCAAACAGCTTGGTCAGCTTCAGCACGTTATCGCAGCCCCAACACGTGCCTCGTCAGGGCTCTGCTCTGTTGCACCCACCACCAGTCAACTGAGCTGAATTGCTGCTGCCACTGTGGAACGCAGGGGCCTTCACTGCCAAGCAGCTGATTGGCAGTTGGGACTGCCTCCTGGAATACTGCCAATTAGCTGTTCTAAGTGGTAGGGATACCTGCTGCTGCCTATTGCCGCCACTGCCAATCGTCACTGCTGCCTATTGGGCCAATTAGTGGCAGCGATTAGTGATGGCAATGGCAATCTGTGGCGGCAGTGAACAGCTGATTAGCTGTATTCCGGTAAGCCAATCCAACCACCAATCAGCTGCTCAGCAGCGAAGGCTCCAGTGTTCCTTGGCAGTGAACAGCGGCAGTGGTGACCAACCCCCTTCCCTCCACTGTAATATGCACTCTATAAGATGCACAGATATTTCCACCCACTTTGTTGGGGGATAAAGTGCGTCTTATAGTATGAAAAATACAAGTATATCTAGAGGCTATATCTCTAGGATGTTGCTAATAGAAAATTATAATACACTTTTGTTTACATAATACAACCTGGTATACATAAATCATATATCATAAATTATACAATAGATACAAGCATGTATGCATACAAACAGGAAATTTTACTACACATCAAACAGATTCTATTGGAATTAAAAATCCTTAAAAGTATGTAAACATTCCTCAATGAGACCATTTTATCTTAAATAAAAATGTATATAATATAGTAGGCACAAACCGAACAAGCTTTATGGGTTAATAAAATGTTGCCTTTTTTGAATAGCATATCTAAAATTACTACTTAGTTGTTAAAATGAGAGAAACCCAATATGTACAAAGGAAAAGACAGATGATAATTATGATATTTGCACTGGTACCAAATAAGGATAGATATATTACTGCTTAATAATACAACTTAATAATAAGTTGTTACATCGCTAGAAGCATCTTTTTTAAAAAAATATATCACAGCTTTCTTGTGGAAAAATACTCTTGAAAATACTCCCTATTAATATGTGAAATTCAGTCAGCACTTGTTATTATCAAATGGTTATAGGAATTGATGGGATACTTATAAAAATGTGCAAGAAGAATCAGTAAAGGTTCTAATCAAACTATAGCAAACATTAGAAATAAATATGGCCAAAAAGGTGATATTTTTTATCTATTCATTTATTACATTTATTTGCTACCCATCTTGTTTCAAAGCAACTCTAGGATATTTGATAGAGTATGAAACTATTGCAACTCTAGGATATTTGATAGAGTATGAAACTATTGTACAATAATGTACATTTTATATGTAGCAAAATAATTGATTAAAGGCCTACATGCCAGAGTAGAGCCTTCCATGCCAGATATTCAAACTGATTTAAAAAGGCCAAAGAACAAGAAACATCATGCATGCTGATTGAGATAGCCAAAAATACCAGAGTGAATATAACATGTTCTTCATTGATTATGGTAAGTCTTTTATTGACCATGTCATGCTATGAAATGCCCTCATTAGTTATCATAGATCTGTCCCCAGATCCTTCTCTGGACACAAGTTCAGAGAAAGAGAGTGAGTTTGAGTTGGCAGAGGAAAGCATGAAGCCCAGGGTTGGTTAGGATTAGGACTCAGAGAGTGCTTGCCTGATGGAGCAGCCTCAGCTGGGTTGATTGGATCAATGGCAGGCTGAGCAAAGCAAGCCACAGTTGCAGCAAGTTGGCCAGGAGACTGCAGGTGAGGACAAGGATCAGCTGCTGCCTGTTAGCAAAGAGGAGGAGATGGAGGTCACACCACCTTCTGATCCAAAGACATGTCAGGCAGGTAGAAGATCGGCACAATGCCAGTCAGGTAGACTATTTGTGAGGAAGCAAACTCACCTCTCATGAAGAGCTGCACTGGTGTTACTGTCTTAAAACCTCCCTGAGGACTTGAGTGTTGATGGAGCAATGTGCCCAGCTCCATGCCTTGTATGCTTGTGTTGTGTATCCTAACCCATTTGAATTGTGACTGCTTTCCTGGACTTTGTGTGTGCCATTTGGACTCAGTTAGCCAGTAACTCTTGCCATACTGAACTTGGAAACCAGACCTGTGCAATGGGGATGCTTTCTGAGACCTATTTAGGGAGTTTGAATAAATATCTAGAGAACTCTTGGTATATGTGTATGTGTGTGGGGTGTGGAGTGGGAGCAGGGCAGCATATTAGCTGTGCCATTGCATTCTGGATTCCTGTTAGTCAAACTGACAGTTCTGTCATGAATTCATTATAGCCAATAAT